ATCTATGGGTGTTATAAGGTGATGTAATTAAACGCTGATATGAGTTTGTTATTTAGTCTAATGACTTTTGGACTGCTGAGTTGTGGGTGTGTCAGTACAACAGATTAAAGCTCATATTACAGTCAGTTAACTCGGCTCACATATGGAATCAAATCACAACTTCTATTCAGTATATCTACATTTTTAAACAAATCAATCAACTCCAAGTCAAACTTATATCAGTTCGAAACTCTTGACTAAACTAATTAGCTGCTACACTGCAAAAATTTTCTGAAAATTAGAAGAAAATTCTTAAAATAAGTGTATTTAACCTTAATTAGAGTAGGAAAATATGATTATCTGCCAATGGCAGGAGCATTTTTACTTTTAGAATAAAAACATTACATAATATGCACTTGAGACTGCAGTTGTTTTTTCTTATTTTAAATGTAAATTGTCTCATTCCATTGGCAAAGTGTCTCACTAACCTGCTCAATTCAAGAAAAGAAATGCTCTTATTTTAAGAAAAAATGTCTTACTTTGATGTACATGTTTTCAGTGTACAAGGACATTGGTAAAGGTAAATACAAATAGCTGGAAACCATTATCAATAAAATAATTCAATTATCTCGCAGTCTGGCATGAATTTTATGTTGACGAACAAACATTTATATTGAACAGTTTGGAAAGAGCTCAAATTATATGTAGAGGAATTGGAATGTGTTCAAATCCAAGATGTAAATAAAACAGTATTTGTTGAATATTCCACCTGGTTTTATTAGAAGAGAAAATGTTTTTATTAAAGCCCTTTTCTTTGTTCCCTTTTGTGTGCAGATCATGACACGGCCATTAACAGATACAGCCGCCTGTCTAAGAGGAAGGACAATGACAAGGTAGCAACAAACTTTACGTCTGAACATTACAGCTTATCATGACTAAAGGGAAATCTGTGCTTCAGTCAGCAGTTAGTTTGGATATGGTTTTCTTTTTCTTTTTTTGCAAAACGTTTGGTCTCCTTATTTGGATTTTTTAAAGGAAAAGTCCGGTCAGCAAATCACTCGGGGAGAACGCAGAATAAATCTGAGTCAATTGGACGCGTACTGATGACATCACCACATTCACAGCTAGTCTGGAGCTGCAGTCCATGAACTGTTATTAATAGAATATAGAGAATAATAAATTCTTACAGTCAGATAAACACAAATCAAACTAACATTTTGCCAAATAAAACAAAAAATTCGTCATCAGAGCCAGTGGTCCTTCACACACGACTGTGCAGAGAGAGGGTTGCTGCAGACGGGCTAACGTTAGCCCTGGCTGCAGCAACCCTCTCTCTGCAC